ATAATATGTTTCACTCAGATATACATTACCATAAGAAAAGATTTGAGCCCTTGGGCACGATGCAGCTGGCACTGCATGAGGCCCTATTCAAAAAAGGTTGATTCGTTCATCTGGAAATTCTCAATCCACATTTCTTCTGTGAAATTGGATACCGTAAAATAACCTCCCAAAAAACACCTTATACAGGGCTCCCTCCAAGTATAAGAGCTTGCTTAAAATGTTTGGATAACATGCCTAAATCTTCTTTGGTTAAAATTATCTATTGCAATTGCTGTGATATACAGATATCTACTAACATCTGTTGTCAGGATTTTTAGAAAGGCTTATTGTGTGAGGAAAAAATGTTGTCATTTTACAGCTTAAATTGTTTGTAATAGGCCCAATCCCAAATCTCCCAAATCTCTCTCTTAGCCCTTCCCCTAACCCTACCTCTCATTTTGCGCATTTATGTGAAGGGATAGTGTCTCAAATCTCTGTTGCTTGAAGGCATAGGGTTAAAGGCAAGGGCTTGATGGCCAAGGTGAAGGGGTATTGTTAAAAAATAGAACTGAGATTGAGCCTTAGTGTTGAGCAAATGTGTAAAGGAATCCTGGTTTTTAACCCAGACACATACAAGTGAAATGACCATCACAAAGTGCACAACCTTAGTACATGAGGATATATGAATTATTTAAACATTCTCATTCCATACATTTTTGCATCTTGAAGGGAAACTCCTCCGCAGAAATCTGCTCGCTTACATCTTTTTAATCTGTATTTTTTTGTATGTAATTATTTAATCTGACCGTATAGTTTATTAATGAGGTTTGCTGGCAAGAGCTGTGTGTAAATGTGACCCTAGGCCTGCTTATATCCAGCCCTTGATGTTAAACGGCTATAAAACGTAAATGTAAAGCCTCATCTGCTGCCCATTCTAAATGCATGAATTAAGTGAGTATTTCCTCAGTGGCTCTGAACAAAAATGCGGAAAGCTATTTACTGGCACTGATGCAAACAGGTGTTTGTGCTATGAATGAGATTTGCTGAGGCTTTGACGAAAAATGTCTCATGCAGCCCTCAAAAGAAACACAGGAAGATACAACAGCCATGAACCGTCTAATAAATGTAAATCATTACACCAGTGGAAAAACATAAAAACAAAATGAACACGGGAAATTGAAGGCAAAAGAAAGTGTGTGTGTGTGTGTGTGTGTGAGAGAGAGAGGGAGGGAGAGCAAGCAATCTAGCGGAGACATATTTCCCTTTATCGGCTCAAACTGACACAACTGGTTCCGCCAGATTTAGATATTAATTCCAGTAGCGGCGAATACAAAATAAATCCCTCTGCTAATCGCGCCATGAGAGACATGCCGGTAAAAGTTTTTTGTGTAAATTACCAAAAGATTAGTGCTGTGACTGGAGTTTTATCTTCCGAGTAGAGAGAGGGAGAGAGAGATTCCCTCAATTTATGCTATAATACAACTTGCTCTTTCTTTCCCCCCTTTTTGTCTTCTCTTTTGAAATTGCCTCATAAATCTGGATAGCAAGTCCATGTAAGTCTCGTTCTCTGGCATGAACTGATAGTGGACATTGTTTTTAAGGCTGCTTGACAACTGGGTGTACAACATCTCTCTTCTGAAAAAAGCCAGAGTTTTGACCAGTTCTGTGAAGCCGTCATGTTCTGAGCAAGCCATACCTACACTTAGTCAGGGATTATAAAGCATTAGTGGTATTAATAGTCTATCGCAAAGAAACCAAAGCATTTTACCACGAAGAGCTATATCTCTTTTCTGTGCTCTCGAGTTAATAGCATTACTCCACACTCAGCCCAAACGCAGAACACATAAATACATCCATTTAAAAGGAAAAAAAAAAACAAATATATATATATATATATATATATATATATATATATATATATATATATATATATATATATATATATATATATATTTATATATTCAAGAAATCAATAGACATCTAGAGGGGCCAGCTGCTAAGCATTCCAATTGGACTCAATTTTCCAATACAGAATAACTTGGCCGTTCTGTAAATTTGGAGTGCAGGACCTCTGGCTTTATAGCAACCACACAAAAAATGACATGTTAAACTCTTTGTTGGTGCGCTTGCTCTTTCTTGACTTATTCCCAGAGGATTTCTTCTGGAGACAACTATTGCCTGGTGACTCATACACATCGGTTAAAGGCATATTGATTCAGAAAGAGAGAGAGCGAGCGGGTGAGCAAAGCACTCAGCAGGCCGGTAGCATTAGGATTCCACACATTTGTTCATGTACAGCAGGTGTTTATGAAGCGGGGTATGGAGAGATTTCATAAAGTGACAGTTTAATGTTGAGGCTATTAATTCATTGTATAGTTATCTTTTAAAATTGTGGTTCTGGGCAGAGATGATAATCCAACTGTTCCTGCTGAGCGCGGAAATACATTTATCCATTATGTGATTGAGTGTGAAGCTGCGCTTTGCCTTCATTGTTAGGGGCAGTTTTATACTTAAAATCTACAAATAAACCCTGACCTTGTACAATTGCTTTAATAGCTGGAGAAAAAGAACTTATTTACGGTAATTATGTGTCGCTTTCTATTTGCTGCGGTAAAAACTGCAAATGTTGCTGTGTAGTAAATGGTTTTAGTCCTGAAATAAGAACGGATCAGCTTGTTAGAATAATTTCTAAAGAATTATGTGATACGGAAATCTGATGAAAATTCTGCTGTATAATCACAGGAATAAATAGCATGTTTACTTTTTGAAACATTAACAATATTAGCTATGATACTATTTTACAGAATTTTTGTTTTAAATAAATGCGTCAGTAAGCATCTGTGGTGGTTCCCCCCTGGCCCCCCTAAATTTAGACGTGTATTTTTGTGTCACACCCATAGACAGTAAAAGATATGGAGGGAGTAGGCCATATGTGACGTCACCAATAGGTTTTTTGAAGAACGCAAAATAAACTACTAGTAGGCGTGGCCAAACGTTGCAATTTAGTTTGCGTGCCATCGCATTGACTGAGGAATACCAACAAGGGCAAAGAGTTAGAGAATGATCGGAGCTACAGACAATGGGTTTTCTACAGTAGAACCGCTTTGTACTTTATTACCTGCGACTCGTTTGTGATCTGACCCCATGTGCTTAGTTGTGTACTATATCAATAAAGGGTTTAGTCCTTTAAAAACACTGTTGTAATATATTGAGACACTAAGCATTGTACTTATGACGTTTTTCTACATAAGGAAAATGCTAATTACTTTCAAGCACTTTAAATATAGTTTGTGTTAGTAAATGCAAGGCTATTGATGAAATCCAGGAATAACACTGCATTAAAACGTTTCAGATGACATGAACAATCTGTCATATTATGGAGTGCTTTACAGGTCTAAAGAAAAATATAAATGATCTTAAATAAAACAAATAATTTACAAAGATGTAATATATAAATTTCACTCACCTGGGAAACGAAGCCCACGTGAATGGTTTGTGAGCACAATTAAGTGCACACAGCATGCCTTATCATCTGATAATTGTAGGAAATAATTCCAAAAAGCAACAGACTGTGTAAAGCCACATAAATCAAACAAAAAAAAATATGATGTATATGCCGAGTTTAGCTGAGGTGAAGTTACAATGACCAACATGAACTGGGTGTCACTCAAGTGGCCACACCTTTAATTATGCAGACTTAATATAACCTAATATAAAGGAAATGGATGAGTTATAAAAATAAATTAAAAAATCACCCCTCTCACAGTTGTCATGAAGGGTGATATCAGCTCTATGAACCAAAATCATTCTTTGTACCAGGCTATAAACACCTTTTTTTTTCTGCTGTAAAGTTGGCCATTTTAGCATTGAGCTTAATAGAAATCTGCTCTGTTATGGAGCTATGACTAGCAGAATTTCCATGAATTGCAGTTTCAGTTACTTCTGTATATGCTTAATGAGTGAGAGCGGGAGGTTGCTGCTTGGTCACAAATAAAACGCCACAGAATAGCGAGATCAGTCATCGGTGGTGGACGGAGATGTGACTGAGGCCTCTCTCTCTCTCTCTCGCTCGCTGCTTTCCCTTGACTTTTTTCAGTGATGGTGTTGTGCGCATCAGTTTCCCATATTCGTCAGAAGTTAAGCCCCAAATTGACACAGGTAATAAATAAATCTACTTCAGTCATGTTTATGTTGTGATCAAAATGTCCACTGTTTATTATATTAGATCAGTGGTGCTCAACCCTGTTCCTGGACATTTACCTTCCTGCAAAGTTCAGATTCAACCCTGATCAAACACACATGTACCAATTTATTAGATAATTAGAGGCAGGTGTGTTTGATATGTGTTGAAACTGTAATCTGTAGGGAGGTAGATCTCCAGGAACAGGGTTGGTCACCCCTGTGTTTGACTTTTGTTTCCAATAGCAAGTTTGAAACTTTTAATAAAGGAATTCCTCGGCTTTGCATACTGTTGCCTATTATTAATTAGAAATTGAGTGTAGTTTTTCGTTAGGACAGTCGGAGAACAGAACAGAAGTACTGGAGAACAGATGTAACACATTGATCAAATATAGTTTTCAGTCACGCTTATGTAAAAGTAATACTCAACTTGTTTAGTTTGGCCCTCATTCATATTTGTTTTCAGTAGTGACATAAAGCACGAGTCTTAAAGCAGATGATATTTTACAACACACTTTTAAACATAATAGTTTAACTAATTTCTAATAACTACTATTTTGTCTTTCCCATGGTGCAGTCAGTGCATTATATTTTACAAGTTATTTTCCAAAACAGTTGTATTCAGATTAAAGGGCTATTAAAACTTAATTAAGCTCTGTTAACAAGGCAAGTTAGAATAATTAGTCAAGTTATTGTATAACTGGTTTGTTGTGTAGTCAATCAAAAAGTATACATTAAATATTTCTTATAGGGAGGCTATTAAACCTGACCTTAAAATTGTTTTAATAAAATTAAAAACTGCTTTTATTCAAAACAAACTATAATAAATAAGACTTATGTAAGAAATGAGTCTGCCTCGACCCAACTTCCACTCTAAATGGTGAATTGATGCTCATTTCCCAAAAGGGCTGACTTATGAGAGAAAAGAGAAGTCAACAAGGTCTTGTCTCTGCATTGTTTGAGGTGACTACATCTCAACCAAATGGTAACAATTGTAGAATGGGGATGGGTGTGGTGCACAAAGAACCATCTCATCAATGGTGTTGAAACTGCATTAACATGGAGAGATAGGGAGAACAGCTGGGTCAACAGCCAAGGAGCAACTTCATTAACATCTAAAGGCAACATCAAAAACAGTATAAAGGTTTGAGTTTAAGAATGTTCAGGGTTCATTCTGACTCCGGTGAACCCAAGGTACTGCCATGTATTTTGAGACTGCTATGCTGAATAAACATCTTCATTGAGATTTTCTTCGTCATCATCATTTTTTCTTACACTGGCGAGTCATCCAGCGAGGACTTCCAAAACAACAAAGGAGAGAAAGGTAAGTAAAGCAGGTTTTCTTATTAAATGTTTGTTGTTAGGAATCCCCCTCGTTTTAAAAAAATCTAGAAAAGAAAATTTAAGACAGAAGAGAATTTGTATTGTTCAGTTTTAGCAGAAGGAGTTCTTAAGTCTATTCTGTACTATTCTGCCAATTTTGTATAAGATTCTAACTAAACTGAATTAACCCGACGTAGTGTGGTAGCAGAATTGTATTAAATTGTTGTTTCTAAAGTAATTGAAGCAAAGGGCTGAAGTTTAGGTTTCTAAAGTGAATGAAACTGTGCTGAACTGTGTTGATTCTAGTGGCAGAGTTGTATTGGAAATGTTGTTTCTAAAGTAATTTCTAAAAATATGTTTCTAGCATAAGTGAAACTGGTTTATAAAGTTTTCATAATTCTTTATAAATTCTAAAGTAACTGAATTGATTTGATGCAGTGTGGTCACAGAAAATATATTTGGTAGGGTGTCTGGAACTGTTAAAGATCATTTTCTTGAGGTTTTGCCTGATGTAATGTAGCAGTGTTTTGTTTTTTAAATTACAACACAAAGGACTGATGCAGATTGGTTTTATCTGATAACATACAGATAAACATTGTTTTGAGAGTAGAATTTGAGGCCTGATGGAGAGTGTCTATGTTCAATAGACACTGATGTACAGACATAATTTTTTGTTTGTTATTATTCATTTGCACAGGAGCAGTGAATAATTGTATCAAGTATTAAATAACTTGGTACTGTTCAGTCAGTAAAGAACTAAAATCTATTGAATTACTCAAGTGAACTTAACAAGATTGTGAAAATGGAAGATATGATGGTTAAATACATTGCTAAGCATGGCACAGTTGGAATTTTTGATGGTATAGAGAAAGTCGTAGATAAGCCATATGAATGGGCTATCTCTAAATTTGAAAACTTTTCCAAAATGCCAAAGAACAATAAAGGAAAAATTGCCAATGCACTTCAAGCTGTTCTTGCATCATACAAGGTAACTAGAAAGAGAGTAGTGGAGTTAGAAGCTGAAAATGAAAGACTCAGTATTGAGATAAATGCTTCAAAATATTACCAGGCTAGTGAAGCATTATGGAAAGAAGAGAAGATCAGAATGCAGAATGAGATAACACGTCTGAAAACTCATAAAGACTTGTTGGCATCATCTGTAGAAACATTCTACATTAATTTGGAAGAAGCAAGGGCTACTTGTAACTTCTTCATAAAGAATGGCCTAACAGAGAATAACACAAGTGAGACATTAAATGCAAATAGAGTTCCAGAAATGACAGACATTCAGGAAGATGATGAGAAAAGGGAGAGAGATTCTCAGTCAGTCAGAAGTCAATGCTCAGAGTGTACAGTTAGATTTCCTATGGCACCAGTTCACTCTAATACCACCATGCATATTACTGAAGCAGGGGTTGAATCAACGACCCATAACACGGTTAGAGGGTTTAACCCAAATGAACTAGAAGCTGTGATCGCAAATATTGGAAAATTTGATCCTACTGAACAAGATCCTTTAGATTTCCTAAAGAGGTTAGAGGAATATGCAGAGGTGTACAAATATACAGATGGTGATGCATGTGTGTTGCTAAGAATGTGCCTACCTGAAACTTTGTCTGGAGCTTTAGGTCAGAAAGTAAAAGACAAAACGGCAAACAAGTCAGAGAGGAAACAGGCACTGCTTGAAGTCTTGGGTGTGATGTCTGTTAACTGGGATAAAATATCTGAGACACACATGAAGAGAGGGGAACACCCAAGAGTATTTTCTGAACGATTGTTGGAGATGTTTAAAACATTTAGTGGCAATCCTGATATTACTTATGATGACGTCAGTTTCAAGTCTGCCTTGATCAACAAATGTGACCCACACACCCATTCTGCTGTGACAATGCTTGTGACACCACTCTCTGATTATGATGAAATCATTGGTAAAATGACACAGTTTTACAACAATAATGCAAATTCACAGAGGCAAATGAAAGATGCGAGATATCGTGTTGCTGCCTTTGCAAGCAGAGAATATGCAAGCTCATCCAATGGTTTCCATCACAGAGCAAGGAAATTTACAAGTGTGAACTCAATGGGTGTTGTTCTTTGTTATGCATGTGGAAAAGCTGGTCACATTGCGAGAAATTGCCGGAAGGGTGCAAAATCTCAAAGCATTGTTTGTCATGCATGTGAAAAAAAATGGTCACATAGCAAGACATTGTTTAGAGAAAATGAGGAAAGACCAGGAAGTTGTTTGTTTCAGATGTGGAATTATGGGACACAAGGCAATACAGTGTCATGTTTCAGTTAAAAGAAAGACAAGTTATAAAGATTTACATAAGAAAATAGCCAGGCTAGAAAACCAGCTGGAAGAGTTGAAAGGAATGAAAGAAGGACCCATTCACACCTTTTCAGACACATCCCTGCATGAAAATGACTGTAACTCAGTCTCAAGCAGCTGCTGATGTGAATTGGAGAAAATGTTTCATGATAGTACAATATTATAGAGATATTTTTACTATCAAAACGGGGGTGATTCTGTATAATTTCTAATAAATTATTTTAAATTATATTGATTGTTTAAATGTAATTTATGATACATGTTTTAATGTAATTATTTTTTTTTAAAATAATATTACTGCTGTGTGATGCTTTAATGTGAGAAGATACTTGTGTGGGAAAGGGGGGGGCAACCTCTTCTTTTTATTCTCATTCCAGATTGAAAGGTGTGGTGAAAGATGATCCAGTCATGGGTGAGACAGGCCAGTATGACCACGAGGAGATTATGCAAAGAACAAGGTTCTTCAAGAGAACAGAGAGATCCAGAACCCCAGGCCCAGTATTGATCAGAACTTTCAAGCCCGGATGAGAGCCAGAAACCAAAAAAACCTTGATCACAGAAACCAAACAGAGATCCAAAGCTCCAGGTCCAGCATCAATTAGAATTGTCAAGACCCAGATTACATCTAGAAACTCAGAGATGGTGAAGATAATCAAGAAACCAAGAGATGCCAATGAGATTAAGAACCAAGAGATGTTGGGATGCTGATGAAGTTCTAGAAACCCAGAGACACAGAAAAGTTGGAACAGCACAAATGGAATACCAGTGACTGCTTTTTCAAGTGAGATTTGTTGTCCAGATGGAAGAGACTGAACAGTGGATAAGAAAAAGAGAAGATAAAACCATTTTTAGAAACTTGGAAGTTAATGAAAACAAATGGTAAAAATACGGACCCACATTGAAGGCCAAAAGCCTAAGGCCACAGACTGACATATGAAGAAACGAATACATACATACATGCATACATACATGCATACATACATACATACATACATACATACATACATACATACATACATACATACATACATACAGATAGATTATATATTGCTGTACAACAAATGCAAAAGTGTGGATGTCATCAGTATGTCCACACTGGGAAAAAAAAAAAAAAAAAAGGTTGCATACGGTAATGTAGAGCATATGTTACTGTCCTTGAATGCACACTTGGATAAAAATGTCCATGCTGAAAAAAAGTGGACACAATGTGTTTAAAAAAAAAAAAAAAACACAGGAAACTTTTCACAAACAAATGTTTGTTGTGTAGGGAGTGTACATTTGTTATCTAGTGGATGCGAATGTGGTGTAGTTAATATGAATGTTTAATGATTCTAATGTTTGATTTTAATGTGGATTTTAATGAGGATGTTAACACTGTCGACACATAAAAAAAATAAGAAAAAAAGGGAAATGCTTGCACTCACAAATACTTGTTGTGTAGTAAATGTTCATGTGGTGTAGTTAATGCAATGTTTAATGTTTTTATGGTGTGATTTTTCAATGTGGATTTCACTTGGATTTTAATGAGGATTTGTACGCTGATAAAATAGACACAGTGAGAAAAAAAAGAACAATGCTTGCAAAAAATGGACAATACTATGCAATGGTTGTCCATATGAAAAAAATGTACATGCTAAGAAAATGAACGAGAAGAAACGATACTTGCATACAAGCATGCAGACACACAAGTACGCACGCACGCACACACTCACACACACACACACAATTTTCTCTATTGATTGATGTTCTTGCTCCTTTGGCTTTTGGCTGTAGTACTTTTTAGACTGATACAGTAGAACATTAGATGTCATGGTTCTCATGTGCTCCTGTCCTAAACCCAAGAAATTACTTATATTTTATAGTTCCAAATTTGAAGAAGAGACTATGACAACTTGCCTAATTGGATGGAGCAATAACCAGTGTGCATGAGGTGATGACCCCAAGACGGGTAAGATTCTTTGGTGCCCAGCCAAGAACAACCTAAGCCAGGGCTTTACCGCCACTGGGCACCTGCCCATGAAGGGAGGTGTAATGTGTGAAAGAGTGGTTGTGATGCTTCTTTCTGGGCCAAAGAGCATCAGAGAGGGGACTGTAAGAAATGAGTCTGCCTCGACCCAACTTCCACTCTAAATGGTGAATTGATGCTCATTTCCCAAAAGGGCTGACTTATGAGAGAAAAGAGAAGTCAACAAGGTCTTGTCTCTGCATTGTTTGAGGTGACTACATCTCAACCAAATGGTAACAATTGTAGAATGGGGATGGGTGTGGTGCACAAAGAACCATCTCATCAATGGTGTTGAAACTGCATTAACATGGAGAGATAGGGAGAACAGCTGGGTCAACAGCCAAGGAGCAACTTCATTAACATCTAAAGGCAACATCAAAAACAGTATAAAGGTTTGAGTTTAAGAATGTTCAGGGTTCATTCTGACTCCGGTGAACCCAAGGTACTGCCATGTATTTTGAGACTGCTATGCTGAATAAACATCTTCATTGAGATTTTCTTCGTCATCATCATTTTTTCTTACACTTATTATGATTATTATTTTAGCTTTATAGGAAATACTGTAAACATTTCCTTGGTTTGCTAAAAATCACTTAGAAAATGTTATTTTAAATTAACAGGATGGCAAAAAAAAAATAAAAAATTTCAACTGCATCTGTTAAAGTTTACAGGTGCAAAATGTGCCTCGATGTACTTGAATGTTAAAAATGTGTTATCCTATAGTACAAAATTACTCATCAATAAATTAACATGGAATATTATTAGAAGTTTAAGTTATTTCATTATCGTCTTTATTAGGCTGCAGAGTGATGCATGATAAAAAGACTTTGAATAATTATTTATATAGTTTGTGATGTATGTTAAAGTGTGCCCCCTAAAAGTACAAGTGGGCTCAACCCCTTCTAAAAACGTTTGTGCATTAGTGTATAATAATAAAATAACTAAAGAAAGTCTGCTAACTCTCCAAAATATAATTAAAATTTATATTTATATAATAAATATTGCATCTGTTCTATAAACACAATAGACATCACAATGGGGTACTTGGAGATCATAAGAATATAAACACAACAATTTTAGTTCTTCATTTAATCCTTTTGGATATTCAGTATACACTCCATATTCTAGATCACTAGATCCACTGTGCCTCACTCTGTCTTTTGTTAGAATCACCTTGAACTAGCCAATATCTAAATACCAGAACCTTTTAATATCACTGAGTTCATGGCCACTATTAACAAAATGTTTGGGCACAGAAGATTGAATGTTTATCCTTGAGCTAATTGAGCTCCTATGTTCATATTCATATTGTAGACCACATGGGCACAAAAGTGATAAATAGCAAAAGCTGACAAACAAGAGATATTCTCTTTCATTTTGAATGCTTTCTGAGTGGCAGTGTTGATAAAAAGTTAATTTTAAGTGCATTTTCACAAGATAAACAAGTCTTACACAAAAAGAAGCCAGTGTCTGTTTGGTCTAGATTGATCATATGATCTACTAAATTATCATACAGTATAACTCTTTAAGTTTGGATCGCTCCCACATCTTACACTTTTAGTTTGAGACTGACAATGGTCAACATGTTTTCCAAAGTGTTTGCCCCCCTTTTCCTGTAAATGGCTTGTCACTTCATTTCACTTGAGTTTTTGATTTATTTTTAATTATTTTTTAATAATTTTCTTCAGTTCTTTTTTTTTTTGCGATTTTTTTTATTATTATTATTACTTTTTTGCAATTATTTTTTCATTTTATTTATTTATTTTTTTGGTCAACCAACCTATTAGATTGGGTTGAAGGTGCAGTGAGTCCCTTGTTGCTTCATATGTGTATTATCATACTGGTCTCGAATTGCAAACTGGAAATATTCAGAGAACTGCTATACCACCTGATCACAGCATATTCATTTAGGCTCCTTGTTTAGGCATTGATATTGTTTTCATGGAAAAGCAAGACATGATGGAAAATTGGCAGATACCCCACACAGCTGGTGGTCTGTGTACATGTTTCAAGTTGTGACCTAGCAAGCAAGCAGACAAACACCAGAATTGTGTCATAAATTATACTGTCATACACTATGTACTTTTGCACTATACACTCAACCACCTAATAGATTAAAAAAAAAAAAAAAGTAATGTATTATCATCTGAAAGCCACCCATTGTGTGGTTTAACATGTGAAATTTGAAGACAAGGGCTGTTCAACATTCCACAATTAATTTTTGTTCATTTATAGAAGATAAGTGCATCATCCAGGCATTTAAAGTGTCCTTTAGCACCATTTACACTTTAAAAAGTGAATAGAATAGTGTACAAGTGTGCGTATTGTGATGCACTACAAGAGTTCAAACTGACAAGGTTTTAATGCATGTGGGCCAGAGATTTATCATAAGCCAGACCTAGGCCCTTTGCTAAATTGGGGTAATTTAAACAAATTTCTGTTGTGCAGCTTAAGAGAAACCAATAGTACTGTCATATTTTAAGTTATACAACAGGTCTTTCTGGTTCTTGAATCTAATCGCTGTGTGATGAGTAAGAAGTTCCTCACACAAATGAGTTTTGAAACTCTGTGGTCTATTTTATCTTTATTTAAACAATTATACCATGAAATGTGTATAAACGCTATATCACACTCATAGAACTGTGATATGGCTGTATATCAGCAGTGTTATGATTTACTATGGCACTTTGCCTATGGCCTCATTCCTTTGCACAAATCAGCAATGCTGATATACAGCCATATTGCAGTGTTACGGGTGTGATACTGCTCATATATCTCAGTGTGAGTGACCAGCTCACAAGCTGTATTGCACTGGTGTCAAACTCAGTTCCTGGAGGGCTGCCACTCTGCACAATTTAGCTTTAACCCTAATTAACACCTGATCAAAGTAGTTGAGTTCTTCAGGATTGTTTGAAACCTACAGGTAAGTGTTGTGTAGCAGGGTTGGAACTAAACTTTACAGGGATCCATCCCTCTAGTAACCTAAGTTTGACAAACCCAATGTAAAGCATAGCCTTCTTCTGACAAGGCAGCACATTTGGACTTGAAGAAACCAAAACAACATTGTTTTGGCTTCTAAGCAAAAAGGGGCATTTACAACATATATTTACATTAACATTTAGTCATTTAGCTGACACTCTTTTTCAAAGTGACTTACAAATGAAGAAGCCATCAAACATCAACCATTAAGAGGCAATACTAATAAAATGCTACTAAATACAAAGTGTCTGACATTGTTGGAGAAACAGAAGTCAGAGTATGGAAGGATTAAGAAAAGAATGAGAAACAACATTTTTTTAAGGACATCGTTAAGTGTCCAAGGAGAGCTGCATTTTTAATGTTGCAAGTGATTCAGCAGTCTGCAAGAGATTTGGGATTTTGCTCTACCAGTGAGGGTAAGTAAATGAAAAAAAGTTCTGGAAAGTGATTCAGAGCCTTTCTGAAATGGTACCACAAGGTTGCGCTCTCTTACAGACTGACGACTGCTGCAGACTTGTAGATGTAAGTAGAGGTAGGAAGGTGCAGATCCTTTGGCTGTTCTGTCTAAAAGCATCACTGATTTCAATTTGATGTAAGCTTCAACCAGTAGAGAGTGTGACTCTTGGGCTTTTTGAAGACCAGACAAGCTTTTGTATGTAATGTAATGTGTATTTATATAGCTCATTTACTGTGTATAGCCATAAACCCAAGAGCTTTACAATCATGAGGGGAGTCTCTCCACTTCACCACTAGTGTGCAGCATCCACTTGAATGATGCGGAGGCAGCCACAGGACAACAGCGCCAATGCACTCACCAAACACCAACTATAGGGGCAGTGGATTCGGTAAATAGGGATGATCAGGGGGCCATGATGGGTAAAAGCCCAATGAAGGGAATTTGGCCAGGACACTGGGACTACACTCCTACTCTTTACGAGAAGCGGCTTGAGATTTTTAATGACCACAGACAGTCAGCACCTCGCTTTTTTACGCCTCATCCGAAAGACGGTGCTCACTGACAGCGTCCCCTTCACTTTATTGGGGTATTAGGACTCACAGAGAGCACCCCCTGCTGGCCTCACTGACACCACTTCCACCAGCAACCTAGTTTTCCCATGTGTTATCCCATCCAGATACTGGCCAGACTTAGCTTTGCTTAGCTTCAGTGAGTAACCGGTCTTGGGCTGTAGGGTGATATGGATCATTAGTAGAGATTTAACAGTGCATATTTGGTGTTTCGTCATGCAAGTGAACATTGTAATAGTCCAGCCTAGAAGTGGCAGGTGCTTTGACAAGAATTTATGCAGCCTGCCTTGAGGAAGGACCTATCTGTCTAATGTTGTGTAGTGGTGTAAATCTGCATTATCGTGCTGTGTTTGTTTGCTATGAGATCTTTAAAGGACAACTGGCCATCAAAGATAACCCTATGATTCCTGACTCAATTAGAAGGTATAATTGATACCCCCCTGATACCCAGCTGGATGGTCCAGGGAAGACAAGAAGCTCTGTTTTGCTAGATTAAGCTTCAGGTGATGCTCTTTCCTCCATGCTGGATGTGAGCTGCAATGTGTATAAGAAAAAGGCCTAACATTAGACTACTTTAAATAATTCTTGTGGTGGCAATGAACCTTACTAATAATCAGTGGCTCATAATTAATCTAACTCACTTTCCTTTGGCATAGCACCTGATTTATTAGGGGTCGTCATAATGGAATGAACTGCCAATAACTCTGACATGTTGTATGCGGTGAATGCCCTTCCACAATAATGCAACCCATCACTGATTGTACACTTGTGAACCCCCAGTGCTAGGAAACACAAACTCACACACTATTGCAAATTTTGTTGATTCCATTCACCTACAGTATATTTGTCAGAATCGCCAGTGATCTAGGCCATACAGATCATTGGAGAACTATAAATATACCACTAAGGAAACTACAAATCCTGTCATGCACCACACACTCACACCTTTTCAGGTACTTCTTTGATTACACACACACAGCTGGGAGCTGCTCAAAGACTGATTACATGGACCATATATACAACACACAAACACATAGAATGTGTTAGTAAGGTGCAGAGGCCCTATTGGAATTGCTCCGTTTCTTCTTCTTTTCTAGAATGAATCACAATTTTGTGGGTCCAAACATGCTCGAAAACTCACAAAACTTTGCACACGTAACGTGGTGAAAATTTACATTTGTTATAGGTCTCTTAAGTGGGTGTGGCAAAATAAATCTACAGAGCCACTTATGCACTTTTGACGGACTAATGCCTGATCTACGATTTACACACACATGCGAAAATTGGCACACACATCAAACATGCTAAAACCTACAAAAAAGTTTCTTGAAGATCATCATGTTTGGACACCCCTGATCTAAAGTTTTAAAGGGCGTGACTATGGTGGACTGACAAAGTTCAATGTATCACTATGGAGGAGAAATTACTATCTGCCTGAAAATTCACGTTCGATCAGATTCCACTCCTGAGGACATCTACATGCCAATAT